CTACGGTCTTCCTTATTCACTGTCCAGCTTTCACATGCATATGAGATTATTGAAAATACCATGGCTTGAGTCAGGCGCACCTTAGTCCTCAAGCTGACATCTTTGCTCTTCAACACTTTAAAAAGGTCTTGTGCAGCAGATTTTCCTAATGCAATACATTGTTTGATTTCTTGACTGCTGCTTCCCTGAGTGTTGATAGTTGATCCAAGAAGAATGAAGTCCTTGACAACTTCAATCTTTTCTCTATTGATAAGAATGTTGTTTATTGGTCCAGTGGTGAGGATTTTTGTTTTCTTTATGTTGAGTTGTAATCCATACCGAAGGATGTGTTCTTTGATCTTCATCAGTAAATGTTTTAAGTCCTCTTCACTTTCAGCAAGCAAGGTTATATCATCTACATATCACAGGTTATTAATGAGTCTTCCTCCAATCCTAATGCCATGTTTTTCTTCATATAACCCAGCTTCTCAGATGATTTGGTCAGCATACAGGTTGAATAAGTATGGTCAAAGAATACAACCCTGTCACACACCTTTCTTAATTTTAAACCATTCAGTGTTTCCATGTTCTGTTCGAACAACTGCCTCTTGGTCCAGATACAGATTCCTTATGAGCACAATTAAGTGTTCTGGAATACTCATACTTCACAATGTTATCCATAGCTTGTCATGATCCACACAATCAAAAGCCTTTGTGTAGTCAATAAAGCACAGGTAAACATCTTTCTGATATTCTCTTGTAGGAATCTTAATGCAATTAGGGTTGTTTCCACTGTCAAATATGGCTTACATCATGTAGCAGTATTCAAAGAGGCTGGGGTAGCCTTCACAAATTTGTTTCTTGCTGTTGTGGTAAAAGGTATGTTCTCTTGATACTCCGTGTGTCGGTTTTTGGATTTATCCTGATAAATCCACTCTAACATACCGATTTCCTAAAGCCTTTGTATTCCTCTACAGACTACCAAGACAGGTCTGGAACTTCAACGTGATCTATTGTATGCAGCTGTGCAATCCATGCTTCAGTGAACCAACCAAATAAACTATTAGAACCTCTCCTAAACTTGAGCTGTTACATTGAATGAAGAATCTGTGCTTAGTGGGCCCATATCCAACCCAGTGTTCCTTGCACAATTATCTCACATCCTTAATAGCTATTCCTATACATATTTGTCAGGTTTCTGTTTGTACGTATTATGCTACACTCTAAAATCAAGCAATTCTTTTAGAGTGTAGCATACTTCTTCCTGGGTCACAATTTGTACTTCATCTTTTAGGGCTTACTGGGACTTAAGTCCATATTGTTGTTGAAGGAGCTCTGGTAGCGTAGTGGTTACGAATCGGGCTGCGAACCTTAAGGTCAGTGGTTCGAAACTACCAGCCGCTCCGCGGGAGAAAGATGAGGCTTTCTACTCCCGTAAAGATTTACACCCTCGGAAACCCTGTACAGGGTCGCTATGGGTCGGAGCCGACTTGACGGCACTTAACAACAACAACACATAATGCAGTTTTAATCCTTACTAAAAGATAATGGTTATCTTAAGGAAAATCAGTTGTCTACTTGTTTTGAGTTGTGAACTTAACTAGATACTTTTCTCATGAAATACCATTTCTACTTAGAGGAATGACTGACAAACTCTGTGTTTACTCAGACCTAGGTATTTGGCAGATGTTTTCTTACAAATTAACAATTTTGTCATTTTACAGACAGCAATGGACAGTAGGTGTGCCAAAGATAAAATCTAAGCTTTGCAAAAGAAAATTAGATTTGGAATATTGAAAAATGACACTTATCACCTTGAACTTGGTGGTGTCACAATATTTAAAGATTTTTCTGAATAGATTGATGGTGTTAATAATGAAATCAATTTTTTATATGGTATAATGAAGTGTTTCAGCATTTGGAAACTGCATAACGCAGTGAACTGATAGTTACCAAATTATTATGTGTTATGTTACAAATCCGACTTGGGTAGAATTCATTCAAAATGCCTGTAGATTGTATGTTGCAGCATATCTTTTACTTGTCAAGTAAAAAAGAATATCCACAAATATTTATGAAGGCCATTAAAATACACTTCTAGTTTTCAAGTCTCTTAATTTTGTAGGACCTCAATAACGAAATGTGACAGTGAGTGATTTTAAACAGCAAGTTTATTTTCTCACAATGTTGGAGACAAGAAGTCCAAAATCAGCCAGGTTGAATTTCCTCTGATGTCTCTGAAGAGGAACTGTTTCATGCCTCTTAGCTTCTGCTGACTTCTTCACAATCCTCAGTGTTCCTTAGCTTGCAGATTCATTTTCACATGGCATCTTCCCCCTGTGTATGTTTCTATATCTATTCTCTATGTAAGACATCATTCATAAAGGATTAGGATCCACCCTACTCTGATGTTGTTGTTAGTTGCTGTTCAGTTGATTTAAATTCATGGTGACCCCATGTGTGAAGAGTAGAACTGATCCATAGGGTTTTCAATGCTGTGACCTTCCAGAAGCTGTCTAAGTCAGAATTGCCTCAAGGGCAGTGATTTTTTTTCTTTTTGGTTTGATCTTCTGAAGCACCTCTGAGTAGGTTTCGATTGCCAAGCTTTTTGACTCGTACTCAAGCTCATTACAGGGACTTACTCTGGCATGATCCCATGTAAATTTAATGATATTATCATCAAATAAAGATCCCATTTCCAAACAAGGTCTTATTTATACTGGTACAAGGGTCAGGACTTCAACATATCTTTTTGGGAGACACAATTCAATTCATAATACCATCAAAATATATTTGAACCCAAACAACAAATTTCAATAGATTAAAGCAGAAGCAGATAGTGATTAAGGATCCATAAGACCAAAAACCCTGAGGAATTCTGATTTAAAGGATAAAATGCAAACCTCTTTGTATGGTTTGTAAATCCCGCAGTCATATGACTTCTGATCCCTCCTCTCCCCATTTCCTCTCCTGCCTTATTTCCCTTCCACCTGTTATTCAGTGAAATGAAAATATTTTACTTTTCTCCAGAGGACCGTGCTCTCTTTACATCTCTGTACATTTTGCTCAGTACTCCTTTTTCCACATGGATATTCATTTTCCCCTAAATTTTAGCCTAAAGTACTATCTCCCCATGCCTCTTGGAACTTTATCTCTGATAAACTTTTGTTTGAATTCTACTTTTTCTGAAATGAATATAACCAACAGTGTCATGCTTACTGTTTATCTTTTATGGTATATCGTTTTTCATCCATTAACTTTCAATTTACCAATTTTAAATCCACTTACTTGTGTCATTATATTTAAAGTTAGTTTCTTCTGTAGTCAAGCTCTTTTTTTTTTTTTTTTAAACCATCTGAAATTTCTTACTTTTTTGTATGGGAACTTTTCTTCTGTTAACATACCAATGCAAGCTTTGACAGCTATCATTTTGCTATTTGTGTTCTATTAATTTCCCTTTGATTGTTTTGATCGTATGTTTCTCTTTCCTCTGAATATCATTGTGTGTGTGTGTCTGTGTGTGTGTGTGTGAATAGAGTGAAGGTTTACAGAACAGATCATCAGTCCCACATCCAACAAATCATACACTTTGCATCATTACAATGATTGCAATCCTTCCATGTATTACCTCTATTCATCTTTTCTGTGCTAACCTCCCTCTTGTTGTATAATTCCTTTCCCATCATCCAAATAAGATGAGGCTTTCTGCTCCTGTAAATAGATTTACAGCGTCAGAAACCCTGTACAGGATTGCTATGAGTAGGAACCGATTCTGTGGCACATACCAACAACAATACCCTTAAAATACTTACTGATGATGATCAAAGACCACATCTTTCGGTATGGATTGCATCTCAATGTAAGGAAAACAAAGTTCCTCACCACTGGACCAATAAACAACATTCTTATCAATGGAGAAAAGATTGAAGTTGTCAAGGACTTCATTCTTCTTGAATCAACCATCAACACTCATGGAAACAGCAGTCAAGAAATCAAACAACATATTGCATTAGGCAAATCTGCTGCACAAGACCTTTTTAAAGTGTTGAAGAGCAAAGATATCGGCTTGAGGACTGAGGTGCACGTGACCCAAGCCATGGTATTTTCAATAACCTCATATGCATGCGAAAGCTGGACAGTGAATCAGGAAGACTGTAGAAGAATTGATGCCTTTGAGTTATGATGTTGGAGGAGAATATTGAAAGTGCCATGGACTGCCAAAAGAACCAACAGATCTATCTGTGTTGGAAGAAGTGTAGCCAGAGTGCTCCTTGGAGGCCAGAATGGCCAAACTTCATCTCTCATGCTTCGGACATTGTCAGGAGGGACCAGTCGCTGGAGAAGGATATCATGTTTGGTAAGGTTAGAGAAAAAGAGGCAGACTCCCCAGTGAGATGGACTAGCAAAATGGCAGCATCAATGGGTTCAAGTATGGCAACAATTGTGAGGTTGGCCCAGGACCGGGCAGTGTTTCGTTCTGTTGTGTATAGGGTTGCTATGAGTCAGTACCAACTTGATGGTACCTAACAACAACAACTCTCTATCCAGACGTCCTGGTAGCATAATGGATTATGAACTAAGCTGCTAACGGTAGGTCAGTTGTTCAAATCTACCAGTTGCTCCATGGGAGAAAGATGAGTCCTGGTATGGTGCTGGACAGCTAACCAAAAGTTGGTGGTTCAAACCCATCAGTTGCTCCTTGGAAACCCTCTATAATGGTCACTATGAGTCATAACTGAATCGATGGCATTTCACAACAACAACAGAGATTTACAGTCTCAGAAACCCTATACAGGGTCTCTATGAGTCGGAACCGACTTGACAGAACACAACCACCACCACCACCACCACCAGTGAAGAATTTTTCCTTCCTTCCCATCCCTGGTAACCGTGATAGAATGCTTCTTTTACCAAGATAGCCTTTTCTTGACTTTTTACAACAATAATCTCATATAATATTTGTCTTTTTGTGGTTCACTAATTTCACCCTCTGAATATCATTTTAATTTATTCTCTTTTAGTGGTTATTTTACGTCAGAATGTGAAAGGATCACATGAAAGTCCTGGTAAAAGTAATGGGCCATTTACAAATGGATTACAAACTAAACTATAAAACCTTTAATATTTAAGTAAACAACAAAAATACAACAAAAGATATTGTTTGCCAAAATGAAATCAGCAAGCTCAGTATGACTTTGATGCAGACTGCTCTGCTAGGTGTGAGTCTGTTCTAATGTGGTGATTCAGCATCTCGCTACTTCTTCCTCTTTCAAGTTGTGAGAAACCTTTGTATCTGCAGCATGCTATCATGTCACTTGGTATAGAAGATTTGTATAGGAAACTGATGATCTCAAAATCAGTCCCATACCTCCAGAGTCTACAGACCCCATTATGAAACTAATTCACCTCTGGGATGAAAACCAGTTTCTTTATCAGTTTGTATTTAACTGTTTTTTCTCTTTCAGCTTTTTTCTTATTTCATTTGTACATGCTTACATTTTCCAGTTTTTACCTTCTCTCTTCTTGTATTACTGCCCTTTTATTAACCCAACTATCTGCAAGCTTTTTCGTGTTCTTAGTTCCCTTTGAAATTTCTGTTCACTTCTTTAGTATTAATTTGACTTTTCTTCTTTGACTTCCCCTTTTAGACTTCTGTATCTAGTGCTTTGGCATTGTTTTTGTAATGCTATTGGAGTTCTGGTGTGGTACTGTAGGATAAGCATTGGACTGCCACTTGAAAGGTCTGCGTTCCAAACCCACCAGCCACTCCTCAGAAACCCTATACAGGGTCTCTATGAGTCAGAACTGACTCAATGAAACATAACAACAACATTGTTAGATTTATTTTTGTGTGGTCAAGATACGTGTAACAAACTGCCTTTTCAACATTCTTCACATGTGCAATTCACTGACATTAATTATATTTCTCATGTTGTTAAACCATTTTTAATTATTTGATTTTCATGTTCACTAGCTTACTAGACTTCAGGGATCCTATTGGCAAAAAGAACATCTTAAAAGTGTTTTGCACTGTTCTTGAGCCATTGCTGATAGTCTTGAAGCATTTAATATTAAGTGTCTTAAGTGAGTAAAAGAAATTTTGTTTTTCCAGAAGGAAAAAAAAAAATGTGATTCTTTCATATAGAATATAAGGGAAAGTACATTGATGTATATAAATGTACATTTCTAAGAAATTACAATGCCTTAGAAATATTGTATTTTTGCACTCTTGTGTTTTATGTTTTACAGGACTACTAGGAAAAATCCTGATGGCCATCCGAGAAGCAAATTTTGATACCTCAGCTATGCAGATGGTAAGTTTTGCAATGAATAATTGAGTGACTTATTAAGAAATTTTTAAAAAGAGAATTTACATATTTTGTATTGAATTTTCTCTGTACACTCTTTAATTCATCCCACTAAAGTAATATTTATTGAACTCAACCTCTTTAGAATCAAAAAATGGTTTTATGTGATTTTACTCAGATAATCTTCCTCTGAGAGAGTTAATAGTCAAATGTATAATAAAAATTTATAGAAATCCTGAAACTTTAGTTGCAAAACATGTAAAGACAAAAATAAAATGTAGTCTTTATAGAAGTAACATCAAAGAAAGTTTAACGTTTATAGGGAGTATTCTCTCTTCTGGATTTCTGAGTGAGAAAGAAGAGAATGTGTCTTATCTTTTCCTTCTCCAGTACCTTGTGCTGGCTTCTAGGCTTTCCCTTACGACTGTCTTTGGAGTGAGCATAGTTTAGCCCCTGTTTTGGCAGTCGCTTCCCTGGATCTCTAGAACCAACGCTTATTTCAAGTGCTCTGTTAGCACATTTCTAGTAAACCCTTCATTAAAGGAACCATACACATCCTCTTCTGTAGACAGGCCGTACCTTTGTCCTGTACTCATGGATGCATTGGACAACAAACTGGATACCCTATCATTGTAGATGTCCGATCAACAATTTGGTTTATACAATACTTGAAGGTGAACAAGTTTTACTATTTTACTATTTAAATATTAAAATATTCATTTCTTGAGTTGATTATTTAACCAATATCATTTATGCCCACTTTTTCTGAAGTGGGAACTGCTATTGATTTCTATGAAGTCTTAATTGTCACCCAAAATTTATGAACTAGGGTAGAACACTAATTGAGGTTCTTTTCTGTGTCTCAGATTGATTGGAATATCCATAAACAAACAAAAAAAGACTAGAAATATCAACTGGTTTGCAGAGTCATCAGGCAAAACTTGACTGTCTTAGTTATCTAGTACTGCTATAACAGAAATACCACAAGTGAATGGCTTTAACCAATAGAAATTTATTTGTTCACAGTTAAGGATATTAGATACATGAGTTCAGAGCACTGGCTTGAGGGGAAGGTTTTCTCTCTCTGTTGACTCTGGAATAAGGTCTTTCCTTGCCTTTCAGCTTCTGCTTCCTGGTTTCTTGGCTACTTTATCCCATCTGTTCTTGGTAGCTAATGTTTAATCTCTTTTTCTATTTCAAAAGAGATTGATTCAAGACTATGACCTTCAGTCATCCTTCAGGTCTGAGTTAAGTCATTCTTAACTCAGCCCCTTGGCTCAGTTTTTCATCCTACAATAGACAGATCTGTAAGGGAAATAATGGCACAACACTACTGAGGTACTCACACTTTAGAATGATCAGCCATTTGAGCTCAAAAGGGCAGCATTTACCCAAAGACAAATTTCAGGTTTGGGGAGGAAGGAGAAATGGATAAGTGTTGTTATGTTATGGGAGTTGCAATCAGTGACATGAAACAAACTATGTATGAATTGTTAAATGGAAAACTGATCTACTTTGCAAACCTTCACCCAATTCACAATAAAAAGTAAAATGTCAAAGCAAAAAGACATTGACTCTAAACATATCCTATATTAATTCTATCTCATTAGCATAATTAAGACAATGGGATATAGAGGTTAAGATTTACAACACATATTTAGGGGGTACACAAAGCAATCCATAACATTTCACTCACTGTTGTTGCACTGGACCCCCAATGTCATGAACTTCCCACATACAAAACCCATTCACCCTGTCACATCATCTCAAAAGTCTTAAATCAACTCGAAATCCAAAATCTTATCTTCTGAATCATCTAAATTAAATATGGATGAAACTTTAGGTGTATTTCATCCTGGAACAAAATTCCTCTTCATCTGTTAACCTGTGAATCTTAAATACAAGTTACCTACTTCCAAAGTACCATGGTAAAACAGGCACAAAGTAGACATTTCCATTACAAATGAAAGAAATTGGAAGGAATGGAGGGATAACAAACACCAAGCAAATTCAAAATCCAGCAGAAGAAGTGACATTAGCTTTCAAGGTTTGAAAATAATTCTCTGTTCTCTGAGACCATCTAAGCAGTGGACCTGCCCTCCAGACTCTAGGTGTTAGCCCCTTGGTCTTAGGCTTAAGTTCCACCTTCCAGGCCCTCTGGAATGGCAACTTGACTCCCTGGACTTTGGGTAGCCCCGTTCTGCTCTCCTAATTCATCTGAGTGGCAAGTCTACCTGCTTGGTCCTGGAAGCCCCACCCCTCAGCTTTGGATATCAACTCCATGCCCCTGACATTTGTGAATAGCATCCCCACACTCTGGAATCGAGTTGGCCATGATCCAGCTCTTTGAAACCCTCCTTCCCATGCTCCTTTCAGCATTTCTACTGACCTAGGAATTGCCCAAGGAATAGTCCTTTACATTTCTTTCAGGACAGTAGATGTAGCTCCTTTGACCTGATTCCTGTCTATAGAATTCTAAAAGGCAGACAAGTTTCTTTCCTCTCATCCTGTCTAATCCTTTCAGTCTAAACTGATGGGTTTTCTGCAGTGGTTAGATTCAACAGTTAAAGGCTTACTCTCTTTAACAAAAGATTGTATAGACACATCCTTGGTGAACAGTTTAAGAAACTTGTCCTTAGTTTGTACAACAGAATTTTCTAAATCTTTAAGTTCTGTTGTCATTTTGTGCTGTTCATTTTCAAGTCCATCTCTTTCCACTCACATTTTACTATAAATGACAAGGACCCCTTTAAGATTTTTCTGAGAAATTTCATCAGCCACATATCCACATTCATCACTTACACGTTCTACCTCCTATTATAGGAAAAACAGTTATCATCTGCTGCTGATAGAGCCAGTATTCAGAGACAGGATTATTGAGTAATGATATTGAGTATCGATACTCAGGAAATTGAGTATCGATACTCAGTGAAAATTCTCCAGGTCTCTCTCCCCAAGGAAAAGGGATGGGGGATTTTATAGGGATTTTGGGTATTGTGTGTGTGTGGGGGGGGGGGGGGCACACCAAGGGACTTCAGGAATTCTCTGTTGTTTGTTTATTCAAGGTCCTGTTGATTATCCTAGCCAAACTGTCTTGGCACCTTTAATCTTGGCAGGTGCTGGTTATCAGTGGCCATAAAAGATATATGGTTAGTTTGCTAACATTCCTGCAACAGACCTTCCTGAGATAGTCCTCAGGGTAGGGTTTGACTGCTGATATAAGAAGAATTACTTTAAGAGAAAACAATTGTATTAGGATGGTAGAATGTGCCTTTAGGCCTTCTTCCCTGTTTTGCTTTGGTCAGGCTAAAAACTCCATTAACACCTTGGGGATTCTCAGTGTCCATTTTACTTCCACTAAACATTTTACCATAATTCAAACAAGTTCTTTGCCACTGCATAAAAAATATCACCCTTCCTCCATTGTCCTGTCACATATTTGTCATTTTATTTTTGAAGCCTCACCAGAAACACTTTTAATATCTATATCTCTAGCAACATCCATAATTCTACCAACTGTCTCTTCAAGAAAGTTTAGGCTCTTCCTATTGTTGTTTTTATTAAGTGCCATCAAGTTGGTTCTGACTCATAGCAACCCTGTGTAGGATTTCCAAGGAACAGCTGATGAGTTTGAACTACCACCTTGTGGTTCAAACCGACCTTGCGGTCCAGTGCTTTAATCCATAGCGCCATACCAAGGCTCCAATAAGGGTGAATTCATTAAATGTTTGGCCAGATACTGCAGGCTAATTTTTAAGTTGATCATTTTGATGGGCCCATGAATGATGTTATAAATTTTGACAGTAAAAAGATTCCCCTGCTCTGAGGAAAGTCCTTGTCTTTTTAGCTTCTGCTTCCTGGTTCCTTGGAAATCTCCAGATGTCTTGTATCTGTCTTACCCCACTGCTTGCTGTTCTGTTAAGGGCTGTGGAGTCAATTCTAACTCATAGCGACCCTATGTAAGGTTTTCAAAGAGCAGCTGGTGGGTTTGAACTGCTGACCTGGTGGTTAGCAGTCCAGTGCTGATCCTACAGCACCACACAAGGAGTCCTGTGTGATAGCTAGTGTTTAATCTTGTTTTATATTTCAAAAGAGGTTAACCAGAGACTTGCCCTATATGAATCATGTTTGACTAACAAAACAAAGACAATCCATTCCCAAATGGAATTATAACCATAGGCATACAAGTTAGGATTTACAAATGTTTTGGGAGGACACAATTCATTCCATAATACTTGAAGAATCTTATGGACTTCTGGTGTGATGCTGTGGATCAGCACTGGATGGGAAACCACAAGGTCGGATATTCAAACCCACCAGGTGCTCCTATACAGGGTTGCTATGAGTCGAAACTGACTCAACGGCACTTAACAACCACAACAAATCTAGGAATAGAAATAGCCAAAACTTTCTAGAAGTGACCCAAGCCCACTTGCAAAATAATTTGGAAATTTTAGTTAACATTAACTTCATTTATCCTACATCCTAGCACAGTGATTGGCCATAATAGGTATTCAATGGAAAAAATTTTTTAAATAAATGATTAATTGAATATAGGTGGGAGCCCTGGTAGTGTAGTGACAAGCACACTCATTATATTTGGAGTCAGAAAAAATTGACTTCTGGGTCACCTACTTTCTAGGTCAGATTGCAAGCATTCGTATCTTCAGTTTCCTTACTTACGCAATGAAAATATTATCATATGCCTCAATAGGTTATTTTATGGATTAAGGAAAATACCCATGCACTGGGTATTTTATTGGGTTAATGTACTGGACTACAAGATCAGTTTGAACCACAAGGTCATTAGTTCAAGTTCACCAGCTGCTCCATGGAAACCCTGTACAGGGTCGCTGTGAGTCAGAACCAACTCTATAGCACTAAACAACAACAACAAAGTGTCTTATAGCATTTCCAGCACAAGTTGCAAAATAACAAATGGTATCTTCTGTTATTATTCTATTGTGTTAATAATACAAAAAGTTGTATGAATATAGCATAAAACAATGAATAGAAACGGAATTTCTTCCCTAGAGTAGTATGTTGTCTATTACGATAAACCCTCCCATCTTGAATGTTGTTCATGCAGGCAAAAATTTCTCAGTGATCTTCAGTCCTGGTAATAATAAAGAAACAGAGTAAGGGAGAACATAAAATTGGAAATTCTGAAGCTATTTTTTAAAAATTAAGTCTTAGTTCCTGGTGGCTATGACAAATTTTTCTAACTAAATTTGAATCCAGCCTTTATAAGAATGAGTTTTTACATGCTAATCATGCAAGCATGTTGTTGTTGTTAAGTACTGTTGAGTCAGTTCCAACCCATAGTGACCTTGTAAAGGGTTTCCGAAGAGCAGCTGGTGAGCTTGAACTGCCGACTTTTGTGGTTAAAATCGACTTTGCAGTCCAGTGCATTAATCCACAGCGCCACACCAGTACTCCATCTTGCACGTATACCTTTACTGAAAATAAATTTTAAAGGACTAATGAGAATTTCAGATGTGCTTTATTATAACCTAGAATAACTCGAGATTTTCCTGAATGCTTGGAAGGAACAAAGTATTATCTTCAGCTCCTTCTACAAAATCTGAAGTACTTGGGTAATTTTTCTTTCTTTTGCCAAGAATCTATCAATAAATAACATTAGAGTTTATAATTTCCTTTATTTTGTACTTAGTTGAGGTCTTATTCTGAGAAAGTTATAGTGTAGTGAGTTAGAGCATGACCAAAGGGACCAGATTGTCTGAGACAGAATGCGTATTTGGAAAGGTTACACAACCTCTTATGAACCTCTCCTGTAAGTTAAGAGTATTTATAGAACTACCTTTTCATAGGCTTGTTGTTAGGGTTAAATGAGGTGATGCATGTATAGAACCTAGAACAGTACTTGACACATTAAGTACTCAATAACTGTTAACCATTTTTATTACTGATAAGCTGATATTTAATAACACTTTTGCTTCAAGAAGTATTTAATTCTAAGTTTTATATTTTAATGTAAACAAATTATATCTAAGAGATTATAAATATGAATGTTAAGGAGAACTCATTTATTTTTCTTTTGTTGCTTGTCTTATTTTTTTATATATAGTTTAACATGGATCGGGTTAATGTTGAAGAATTTTATGAAGTTTATAAAGGAGTAGTGACTGAGTATAATGTAAGTATTGAAGTAAATGTATTACATCGGTCCTAAAAGTGATTTTTGTCTTGGGGGTGGTGGTGGTGGTGGTAGTGTGGGTCTCTGTGTAATGCAGAATCATGAAAATATTCCTTGAAGTATTCATAATTTGTCAGCTGACCTTACCCAGTGACTGAGGTGTTCTTACCTAGGGAACCAATTGATTCGTTATGAAAAATGTGATAGTTTCATTTATGAAACAAATATATACAGGAATGAAAACAGTGTGCTGAATACTGACATTTTCTATGAAGTTTATAGTATTCTTGGGGTGAAATATTACTCAAAATGCTTTAGGAAATTAAAAGCGAAGCGTTAAGATTAGAGTTTGGTTCCTTAGCAGAATTTAATATCTACTTTAATGTCACAAATACTAGTAGAATCAACTGAAAGTATGACAGACTAAATGAAGAAATAAGACTTAAAAGTAATTGTTCAAAGGGCAATGAGATGGCCTTTTTAGGGAGATGACGCCAAAAGCAAAGACGGAAGCCCCTACCCCTCCCAAAGCTGAAGCCAAAGCAAAGGTGTTGAAGGTTAAGAAGGCCTTGCTGAAAGGCGTCCACAGCCACAAAAAAAGAAAATCTGCACGTCACCACCTTCCAGTGGCTCTGAGGCTCTGGAAGCAGCCCAAAGCAAGCTTGACCACTATGCCATCATCAGCTTCCCTCTGACTGCTGAGTCAGCCATGAAGAAGATTGAAGATAATAACACACTTGTGTTCATTGTAGATGTCAATGTCAAACAGGCTATGAAGAAGCTCTATGACATTGACATAGCCAAGGGCAAACCTTGATCAGGCGTGATGGAGAGAAGAAGGCCTTGGTTCCACTGGCTCCTGACTTGGATGTTTTGGATGTTGCCAACAAAATTGGGATCATCTCAACTGAGTCCAGCTGGCTAATTTTAAATATAAATTGTTTTCAATACCAAAAAAAAAAAAAGGAGCAATGAGATGTATTGTTGAAAACAAATATTCAAATAAGCCAAATCTTGTTTGTTAAAATAGCATACCCCCAAACAGATACTTGCCATGAAGTCTGTTCTGACAGAGACCTGCTCCATCATGTTTCCAAGACTGTAAATCTGTATAGCAACTGACTGTCATACCTTTCTTCCACAGAGCCATTGGTGGGCATGGTTAGCAGACCAGTGCTTATTCTACAGCACCACACATACAGTTTAGGTCTGTTCCTGTTAATTGAGAACAAGTGCATTTTTCCTCTTTAAAGATTCGTTGTTTTGTTAAGTGCCGTCGAATTTATTCCAACCCATAGCGACCCTGTATAGGATTTCCAAGGAGGATCTAGTGAGCTTGAACCACCAACCTTGTGGTTTAAACTGACTTTGCAGTACAGTGCATTATCCTACAACGCCACACCAGGACTCCCTTTCTAAAGGTTGTTGTTTTTATGTGCCGTGAAGTTCATTCCAACTCATAGTGACCCTGCATAGAGTTTCCGAGGCTGTAAATCTTTACAGGAGCAGAAAGCCTCATCTTTCTCTCATGGAACAGCTGGTAGTTTCGAACTGCTGACCTTGTGGTTCGCAGCCCAATTCGTAACCACTACGTTTTAAAAGATAGGTTGGAAGAAACTGGTACAGAGAGGTGAGGAGAGCAGAATCTAGTTTCACTGTCATGAATAGTGAATGTAATTACGTGCACAAAAAGAAAAACAAACATTTTAGAAAGCAACATAAGTGATGGGTAGGGATATGGCACAAATTACCTAAAATAATTTTGTGAAGATGAGGGGAAGGGAACTGACATTTATTAGCAACCTTAACAACAACCACATGTGCTATTTGGAGGTTTTCTCCCCCCTCCCTGGTGGCACAGTGGGTTAAGTAGGCAATTCAAACTCACCAGCCACTTCTCGGAAACCCTATTTAGGGTTGCCGTGAGTCAGAACTGACTCGACAGCACTTAACAACAACAAAAAAAGGTCATTTATGAATTATTTTATTTTGAAGTATTTGTTTCATTATGAAGTATATTTATTTAATCTGGCATATTGATAATGAACTATACTTCTTTAGAGACCAGAGTGGTTCTTTGGTTGTTACAGTAGATTATCAAACTTTAATATTAGCAACTTCTTCAATTTAGAGTTTTTCCTGCTGTTTTCTTAAATAGAAGAGATTTCATGCTTGGTAAAGTAAAGTAGAGGGTTAGCCAAAAAAAAGAGGAAGACCCTCAGCAAGATGGATTGACACAGTGGCTGCAACCCTGGGCTCAAACAGAAATGACTGTGAGCATGGAGCAGGACTGCGCAGTGTTTCGTTCTGTTGTGCATATGTGTCACAACTGGGTAGGTGGCACCTAAAAACCTAAGAACAATAAACTACAAGCTTGGGAGTTCACTGGAAATCTGTATTTTTTACCTGGCGATGGTGGTTATATGCCGTGGAGTTGGTTCTGACTCATAGCGACCCTGTATAGGGTTTCCAAGGCTGTAAATCTTTACGGGAGCAGAAAGCCTCATCTTTCTCCCGCAGAACAGCTGGTAGTTTCAAACTGCTGACCTGGCGGTTCGCAACCCAATTTGTAACCACTACGCTACCAGAGCTCCTTGTATTTTTTACCGACTGGCCTCAAATTTGGAGTTTTCCTACTACACTCAAAGGATGCTATTTGCAAGCTCAGGGCCCTTCCCTGAGCCCTCTCACTTTTACCTTCTGGCTCCTATTACTTCTTTGGGTTCAATAATTCACTAGAATGACTCACAGAAGTCACAGAAGGCACTACACTTAAGATTAAATATTTATTATACCAAAAGGATACCAATCGGGAATAGCATAAAGAAGAGACATATGGAACCTCTGTGTTCTACCTTCCCTCATGTATTGATATATTTTACCAACCAGGAAGTTCTGCCTTTATTGGCTTCATTGCATAATCATGACTAGCATCTCATTGCATATGAATGATTGGATCGTATTTTGTGCCCTTCCTGAAGTCAGCTGATATCAGGCCATGAAGTGGTCCTTCTCCCTTGACCAACCCATCACTCATTAGCACAAATCCTCTGGTGTAGTCTTTAGGTCTACATAATAAAAATCACCTCAGTTACTTAGGAAATTCCAAAGATTATTCTCAGGAACCAAGAACAAAGGCCAAATTGCTGTCTGTAGTGATTTGTTACATCATAGAATATTTTACTGCAGTGGTAGTTTATTGCAATAAATAAAATTCTTATGAATGGTGTATAATTGTGTATACCTTTAAAATTCTTACCACGTTTATTAAAAACCAAAACCAAACTCCCTGCTGTTGAGTCATTTCTAACTCAATTCATTGCCCTATGGGACAGAGGAGAACTGCCTCACAGCGCTTCCAAGGCTACACATCTTTATGGAAGCAGATTGTCACAGCTTTCTCACACGGAGTAGTGGTTGGGTCAAAGTATCGACCTCTTGATTAGTAGTTGAGCACTTACCCACTGCTCCATCAAGGATCCTTTTTCCCATTTATAATTCTGACTGCTTCATTCAGAGAATGTTATATAATGGACTTTATTCATATTCTCCAAAATCACCAATTTCTTTATTCTCCTCACACAGTACTGTGATTCTGCTTTCCTTCCTTGAGTGATTTGGCATACCGAGAATCAGAAAATTCTGAGTCTCCATTGCTATTTGGTTATACCCAAATTGCCTAGTGGGCCTCTTATTTCTTGATGCAGTTGATATCCAGGCCGCAGGTTAAGTTCAAGGAAGAGGTAAAAGTTTTAAAATTGCATACAATTCTTTTAGTTTTATGAACCTAATCTAATTCAATAAAGAAGGTCCCATAAAAGTAATCTCAAGAAGCGATATAATCTTAAAGTGCCAAAATGGTGTCAGTTTGATTCTTACTTCCAGCAAAACACTTGGCCTTCCTCGTCTTAAGGTTTTTATTTATAAACTATATGGTAGGATATTTATGGTCTGTTGCACTATTTGAACTTTAAAGGTACATTGGCTTTAGGTGGTGAAATGATCCTCTTAAATGTAAAATATGCAGTGTTATATGGAGTAAAGGTATCCTATAGCTGGCATTGTTATGCCAGGTGTTTTATGTATTTTCGATTCTAGATTTTCTCACAGAACTTGCTTCAAGCAATGAATTAGCTTTTCCTATTTCCTCCAATTCTTTGCACCTAGCTTATTCAGTTCTTTTCCTTTATTTTTTTTTCCATTTTATATCGGATTGTGGGTTCATATCTTTAATCTATTAGTTGTGTGATTGTAGATAACACAACTTTGAACATTCATTTACCTATCATAAAATGGGAAAAAAATGCTGTCATAAAATGTGAAAACTCCTTATGAAATTGTTGGGAAAATCAAGTGTAATAATTCATGTAAAGCAGGTACGCATAGAGTGGTGGTGGTGGTTGAGTATCACCGAGTCGGTTCCAACTTATAGCAACCCTGTACAAGGCTTCCAAGGCTGTGAACCTTTATGGGAGCAGAAAGCCTCATCTTTCTTGCACAGAACAGCTGATAGATATAAACTGCTGACCTTGTGGTTAGCAGCCCAGTTTGTAATCTGCAATCCACTATGCTGCCAGGGCCCCTGGACATACTGAGAGTGCTCAGTAAATATTGGTTGCTATTATTATTATTAGAATCCTGTTGTGGTACGGTAGGACAAGCACTGGACTGCTAACAGCAGGCCCATGGTTCAAGCCCACTAGCTGCTCCTTGGAAACCCTATACAGAGTCACTATGAGTTGGAACTGACTTGATGACACTTAACAACAACAATATTATTACTGTTATTTTTGTTACTAAATGGCACTGTAGGATAACACTAAACTGGTAATCAAAGTCAGCAGTTCAAACCCACTAGCCTCTTCTGAGAGACTTTATTCAGGGTCCCTATGATTCAAAGCCAACTTGACAGCACTTAACAACAACCTGTAACCATAGTTGCATCTTTAATCTGACATGGTTATTTTTGGTAGTGAGTTCCATGTTTTTCAATTACACTT